GTTTGATTATATTTAGCAGAAATGAGTGCACTTGTGTTTCTACCAATTTACAGGAAGTCAAATCTGTCCTCACACTGTAAAAAATGCAGCCTTTTAACTGGGTTAACTTGAAATTTTGAGTCAGTTGAGCTTCTCAAATTGTGTTACATTCTTTAACTTAGTATTGGAAGTTCAATAAACTCAACATTTCAAGTTAAACAGTTATTTTCTTTTTTTTACTTTAATGTTTAAAAGCTGCATTATTTTTACAGTGCACTTTTTTATTGAGACCATTAATTAATGCATCATATTTGGACAATAAACACATAATATGATGCAAAGCAATCTGTAGGACTGAATATTGAAAGAGTTATTCTGTAAACTGTATAATAAAAGTCTCTCGCTAAAATGAATGACTGAACACATTCCACTAAAATTGCTTTTACTAAAAATTGGACTGAATAGTGGCTTAAACACAGAAATCTACTGTAAAACATTTGACTTATAAATATTTTATTATTAGCAGCGCTGCAGTGTTTTTCAGTGCAGTTTATTAGCCTCACCAGCATGTTAGTATTAGCTAACGACTCTAACCCTCGTCAAAAAGAGTGAAAACTAATAAAAATGCTGATGCTACCTGCACTGAAGTGGGTATGAATGCTTTCGTTAGCCCAACTGACTGGATTCAGTCTGGATAGGAAACCAAACACACACTTTTTTCACACACTAAAGCTTTGAAGTATGACTAAAGCACTAAACTGTATTTTAATAACTGACTGTGGGCCATTTTAGAATAAAATGCCCTCTAATACAAAGCAGCTTTTATTTTTTATTTTTTGATCAACATCAAAATGAAAGTTAAAGTTATGAAAGTAGGAATTCAGTTGTATTAGTACCTTTTGCTTATATATTAGGCCACGTCAGCATTTAGGCTATTTCAACTGCAGAAATCTCATCCTAAATATAGTCAATATATCCAATATGTCTCATTAGGAGATTGATGTAAGCATATTATAAGATCATTTAACCCATTTCTAGACATTTTTACTTGTTTTAAGTAATTTTATTTATGCATTTTACTTATTTTCACTGGTAGATCATTTTACTTGGTTAGAAAAATAATGTACATAATTTTGCTGATTTTAAAGAAATAATGTTTGAAAGAAGTAAAATGATCTGCCAGTGGTTGGAGACACTTTTAGAATATAGAATTACTTAAAACAAGTTAAATAAACCAATAATTGTCTTACATCAATCTCATAATGAGAAATATTAGATATATTGACAACATCTAAGATGTTTTCACTCTCTAAAATATCTTTTTTTAGAGTTAAACGATCAGAAATGTGGAATCACTGAAAAGGACAGATCAGCACAATTTTCTCTTTCAGTTTACTTTACTTTATGCCATGTGTTGATGTAATATATTTGATTTGTGTTGAATTTGAGTAAATAAATGTTTTATGTGTGAATTTGTATGCTTTTTTTTTAGTAACTTTACAGGAGAAGGAAAAAAAACCTTAACTTTCAGTGGAAGTTAATGGAGAAGTGATTTGTTTTGAGCAATTTTGGACGTTTTCTGAAATTTGAACAAGGTATAAACGACAACTGGACTTTTCAAATTATTCAAAAAAAAAGGAGAAACAATGGAGAGACGAGGTTTTGCCGCAACTGCAACAATATGTTTCAAGCACGTTCGTGGTTCCAGGCACTGAGCTGAACCCAAGCCACTCGTTCTTTTGTCCCTCTGCCGTTAGCCTTTAGCCTTATTCCCTCGTCTTTTAGCCTTTGGTCTTTCTGCTCATTCATTTTGTCTGAGAAAGCCTGTTCACATGCAGTTTAGCATACCCCCCCCCCTCTCTCTCTTTCTCTCTCTTTTTCTCCTTCCCTCGCTCCCCCCTTGTCTATATTCTGACAGGTGTGTAATTGGATGATTAATGTTCACTCGTGGCCCCCCGACACCCCCCAAACACAAAGCTACGTGCATACACACAAGCACACATACACGATCAGCCGCGCGCTGTGCTCGTATAATCACACCAAGGCTGCTGTGAGGAGACTGTGTGTAAATTGTGTGTCCACAGTTTGTTCCGCCTGCAGGCAACAAACATCCAGCTCCAAAATGCAAACACACTGAAGCTGCTTTGTTCTACTGTAGTGTGACCGAGCGCTGATCACGATCACCGGCAGATCAAGTGTGTGAAACACCCCCTGGTATTCGGGGGTCCAATGTTGTCTGGCTGCTAACTCTCTTTCCATAGTGGTGCTGACGCTTCAATGTCAGTAAATGTTAGTTTTATCAGTTGTTCTCCTGTAAAGTCTCTGTTCTAGTGTGGTTCTGTGCTCTTCCTCACATTAACTGAGATCTTCCTCGTCTCCTCTTCTGTCTTCAGTGTGAGAAATGAGGAACAGTCACTCTTCACTCCAAACTCTTAGGAAACTGGGCTGTTCTCTGAAATTCTAAATGTCTCTTCTTGTTTCAGGGTCAACGAGAAGAACGTCCCTCTAAAAATGTAGACCATGAGTCCATGAGGACAGCTGTGGGAACCTTGGTGGTACTTTCTTTTACAGTCTATCAAGTTCTAGAAATTAACAAGGTACGTGTGAGGTACTCCAAAGTACTAGGTAATTATTTATGGTAAATTCCAAGATAGTTTAATGAAATTACACCAAAATGACCAGCAGACTCTAGATATTTGTAAACAGTGTGTCCACCTCTAAAAGCTCCCTCACAGGAAGTTATTACATGAAATGTTCACAAATACACTGCCTGATGTCTAAGCAGGCCTGGATCATCCAATTGCTTCTATGGGCACGTGCCCAGGGTCCTCAGCCACTAGGAGCCCCCAGCAAGCAACTATGAGAAAATCTACACAGTCGTTTTGACCTGCGGTGCCAGTAGTGGTGAGAACTTTACTAGCAGGACAGCAGAAAAAAATGAACTAATTAGTCATTGTGTTACAGTGTTATAATAATCCTGACGCTCTTTCCTCAACATCTGCTTCATTTTCTCCCTCAATCACTGCTTACCAGCTGTTACACTATCCACCAAAGTCATCTTTCAGGTTTTTTAGCACTGAGCTACCGTTCCTGTGAATGTACTTTAATTTAAAGCTGGAAGGATGTGACTGAGAATAGTCCACCAACCAAAAACATCCAGCCAACAGCATCCTGTGACCACTGATGAAGGACTAGAGGATGACCAACACAAACTGTGCAGCGGCAGATGAGCTATCGTCTCTGACTTTACATCTACAAGGTGGACTGACAAGGTAGGAGTGCCTAACAGAGTGGACAGTGAGTGGACACAGTGTTTAAAAACTCCAGCAGCACTGCTGTGTCTGATCCACTCAGACCAGCACAACATACACTAACACACCACCACCACATCAGTGTTACAGCAGTGCTGAGAATGATCCACCAACCAAATAGTACCTGCTCTGTGAGGGTCCATGGGGGTCCTGACCACTGAAGAACAGGGTAACAAAGTACACAGAGAAACTGATGGACTACAGACTGTAATTGTAGAACTACTGTACTTAATGAAGTGGTTGGTCATCATAGTCTGTATTTTTTACATGCTTGGAGAAAGCGCTGCTTTGTGGGGACTCGGTTAAAGGTCCACAAATGTCCATTAAAATTCCCATCTTTCACTCGGGATAAACATCCATTCGTTTTGGAAGAAAGTAAATGAGTGTGTGGACAGGGAAAGGAATTAAAGCAGCTTGGGGTCAGGTGTAAGGGTCAGAGAGATAGGACACATCCTGCTAACCTCGGTATGAACTCTAACCCCTGCTGTAGGACACATCCATCACATTGGTGGGGGGGTGGAGGGTGGTGGAGAGTGAAAGAGAGAGGGGGGATGAAAGAGCGAGTTGGCCAGGGGGTCAGTGGAGCAGGAGTGGTCTCACTTTTAGCACTTTCACATGGAAATCTGATGAAGAAGTAAAGCCCACAGGCGGCTGCTTTAATCTACTGAAGTTCAGTAAATCAGATATAGATCAGTTTATAATGTTAGATGAGACTGTATTTACCAAATTACTCAGTGTAACAGATCTAGATCAGTTCAGGCAAAACTGATTTTACTTTATATGCTTCAAAGGCTGAAAAATAGGTAAACATTTTTACACTACTTGGAATTTTTGTTTTACATTACCTTACGTTAAAAATCCTGAATGTTTTTACTTCTCCTGAAAACTTCCCTATTTTGTAGATACCAGGTTCGGTACGTAAAGTGATGTTTTGTGCTTTTTATGCGCTATTTCTTTTTTTTTTTTTATTTCTCTAAAATGAATAATTTTTTAAATGAATAAATAATTGTAATCTTTTTTATTGTAAATGATTTTATTATATGATTTTATTTCTTATTTTTCATTATATTTTTAATTTTATACATTTTTCTTCATTAAATTGCTCTACTATGTGTGATCCTGCTGTGAATTTCTGCTGCTGGATGCATTAATTTTCCCAAATGCAGCAATAAAGTCACGCCAAGCCACACAGCCGACCATGTGATCATCAGTGAGGCAATAATAATGTTTAAATTAAAGTTAATGTCTAGGAGAAACCATGTTCAAGTAGGTTCCAAGAAGTATAGTCATATGCAAAATAACTCCCCAGCTCAAACTACATGTTTTGTTGAAGAACAAATAGGTTAACACATCTTCTACAGAAAGCACACATAAATGTGGCATTTTAATGCAAATTTAAACGCAAGCTTTCTGTCTATTTGCATAGAGTTTAACATGTTGGAAAAATAAAACATAAAATGTGCCATAACTTTGGCACAGGCCACATTTTATGTTGCATTTTTCTCCAAAAAAACAAATTAATTATGCTAAATTCAGCAAATAAACAGTACTTGTGTGTTAAAATGTGCAGGAGTTGCCCATAGGTGTATGTGATTTCTGTGTGGTTTAGAGCTTAAATTTTAATTCTAAAATTGTTGAGTAAGAAAATGAAAGAAACGAGCACCAAATTTACAAAAAAAGTGTTTTAGTACCATAATAGTAACTCAGCATTATCATTCCGTCATCATAAACATTATTATCTCACCATTTACAATTATCATTTTGATGCAAAGATGAAAGACATATGATTTTATAGTAGAGGGAATTCCAAATTTTAGTGAAAATGTTCAAAAACAACAAAAAAATGAAGAGACAGTCATCTGTAAGAAACAAAATGGACCCTAATACTGGTGCTTGTGGAACCCCTTTACAGATTTTACTCTGTTAGGACTGTTTACAAAAAAACAATGCATGTGTTACTCATGTAAACAGAGAGAGAACACACTGATGTACGTCTGATCCTTACAAAGCAAAGTAAAAATGTGCTCATTAGGACCTCAAGAGGGCTACCATTAATAAAAGCTTCAAAAAACTGAAGATTAACATTAACTCAAGGTTTGGTGAGATTGAGTCTCTTTGAAATACTTAAATACAAAAATAGATTCAACATAAAAAACCTAAAGCAATAATAAATATGACAGAGTGACATGATGACAACAGGGCTGAGACAAGGAATTGCACTGCCGTCGTTCGTGGGAAGACCAGTTCAGCTCAGAGCTCAGAAGACCGGCAGCAGTTAGTCTCTCATTTTATTGAATGCATCCAGCAAGTATGTCTTTGGGTTTGTGGAGAAAGCGTTGGTTCTAGAAGACTGCCGCAGGACTATTTGGTACAGTTGTGAAGGCACCAGACTGCAGACGTCTGGCATGCTCCTCTGTTGGTGTTCCTGAAGAAACAGACGGGGTTCTGGGCAAGGCAAGCGAGGCCTGGAGGGCCCCAGAAGTTCAGTTCAGGGAAGCAGGAGAGGGCTCAGGTCACCCCAAAGGCCATAGGAAGACGTGGGTGTAAGCCGAGACGTGTAGCGTGCAAAAATTCAAAAAAAGGTTCGTGAAAAGCAAACGTGAGTTAACGGCCGAGGATCGCAGCGCTTTCAGGCAAAGTACTTTGAGCCGTTTATGTAAAAAACAGTCTGATACGTAGAAGGTTTTGTGTCGTCGGGTTTAAGACACAGTGATTATAAAGGGTTAGTGTTTTATTGGAGATACTGTGAGTGCATCTGAACCATTGCGGAGGTGAAACCAGTGCAGTGTCTTGCCCCGCCTCTTTCTGCCCCCCCTCCTCTGCCCGTCCCCCCTCCCCCCACTCTCAGTGGGCGTGGATGTCGAGGCCTTGTCCAATTAGAGGCTCGGCGGAGTGGGGATGGGGGGGTGGGTGCAGTAGCATGGCGGGGTGGGGCGCAGGGTACGGGTGCAGCGATGGAGCGGCGTGGGTGTAGCCCGGCTGGGGCAGCAGCGCTCCGGGATAGTCAGCAGGCAGAGACGGCATTCCCTGAAGACCTGAGGACACACAACGAGTCATTTAATACTGATTTCAATACATATAACATATAATTAAGCCAAAGAACATGATAGGAAGTGTTCTATCGCTTTTATACAACAGTTAAACGGTTAAAAAGTGAAGAAAAGGAGCTCCAAACATTGCTCAGTGGAATTTCTTTTTCATCAAAAGTAATAAAACAATAAGCCATGTTAATATTATTGCAGTAATATTATCACAATTGAAATGACATGCACCATGTGAAGTGATGACAAAGTTTAATATGATAAAACACACCAATATTCAATAGTTAATTCAATTAGTAATGTAGTAAACATTTCTTAGGCCAAGCAGTGTAGCTCATCAACAGCTAGGCTGTGGTTTCCAACTTAATATTTTAAGTTTTAATAATGTGGCACATTAATATAGAATTTAACTGATATTTGTGATTACGCCAAACAGATTTTAGAACCAATTTTATGATATATAATTAACAATAATGTAATTATTGTGATCATTTTAATCATATGTGGAACATATACATACATACATGTATATGTCATTTATATTGTTGCTGAAAAACCTCCATTTTTGTTGTTTTTTAATTTTCTGTGATAATTTAAACCTGCCAGCTGCTCTTTATGGTCCAGAATTACATGGAAAAAAGTCTAGTTACATTCACTTCCTTTCTTGTAAAGTTACTATTGTGGAGATATTAGGTTTTGTTCCAACAGCAATGACATATGGAAATATGTAATTATATATAGTGTTGTAAGAATAGCGAGTGTCTATCAGTCCTTAAAGCTGTTCTGTATTCAGTTTTAAAACAGTTAAAGGTCCAGTCTAATAAACAAGCATATTTTTTAACTTTACAGGAGACAATCTTAACTTATAATGGATTATAATTGGTTTAACTCCCCAACACAAAAACATGCAAAAACATGGCTCAAAAATTCATGGATTTGAAGAATCATTGCTGTCAAGCAAAAGCTGTTTTTCGATTTTTTACATAACCTGAAAATACCAGCGGTCCTTATGCTGTGCGATAATTTAATGACAAATATAAACTTCCCTGTAAACTTTGCATTCTGTGGTGAATGACTCTCTAATTATCCTCAGTGTAATTAACTCTGCTGTGCAGATGCAGCTTGTAGCTCACCTGCTGTCCTAAGGCCTAAGTGAGGTTGAGCCTCTAATCCATAACCTCCTAACGCTGCCCCCTCTGGACTGTATGGGGCACCTTGACCTGTAAAAACAGACACACACACACACACACACACACCGTGAATCAGAGCTCATAACCCTGAAAAGCAAAATGACTCAGCTGATTGTATTTAAAGGGCCCATATCACAGAAAACACTAGACTTACGTTTTTTTTTATAAAAGAAGTTGATGTGCCCTACCACACAAAGGATTAAGGTCCAAGATTTCATTCATTTTAACCAGTTTCTCTGAACATGGGTGCATAAAATAACTGCACAATAAAACAAATTTCTTACGAGTTTCAAACAGTTTGTATGAAGCTGTAAAAATGAAGAGGTTTTGTATGATAAACGGAGTTGTGAGTGATTTCATGATAAGTCAGAAATCTGTACAGCACTGAGAAGAACCTGACACCCACAATGACTCATATTTCAAAACCGATAACCAAATCTCGCTCATTAAACATATTCAGTGTTTTTGTGACAACAAATTCCAAAATACAGAAGATTATAGCTTATTATTTAATAACACATCATATCTTTACCATGTCCTAACTTTATATTGTACTCAAAACACTGTAAACTGTGAATAAAATGTTGGTTTAGTTTTATTGTCCAGTTTATAGCATTTCAATCTACACTGTATGAGTTATGACTGAATAAGAGTTATTATTGTGACAAGTGACCCCAAACTTTTGAGCAGTAGTGTGATAAGCTTCAAAATGAACCATATATCAAAACTAGGCTATAAAAACAGCCTGTGATTGATTTGTGACGTCACAAGAACCAAAGTGTTAACGTATATTTAGCCCATAGCTCCACCCATTCTTGTTTCAGCCTGGACTGAGGCACAATATATGGCAGCCAATCAAAACAGAGCTCATTTACATCTGCCAGTCTTAAAGGTACAGTAACAAAAACACCCTCTGGGGTGTTTTCTGGATTTGTTCATCTCTTCTTAAACTCTCCTTTAAAGGCTCTTCATGTAACATGATCCTCACATGTTTCATATCAAAATGTTCCGTTATCTTCATCACTACTTTCCAAAACCGCTGCAGCAACTTCAGCCGCTGTAAACTCTCTGCACGCCATTTCACATGTGTCTCCGATGTGGACTGAATGAAGGGTTTCTGGCATGATGGTCAGTCCTTAGTGATTTCCTGAGTGTCCATTGGTCAGTTTCACACAGAATGTAGATGGACACACGAATCCACCAGTTCCACATGGTGAGAGGCAGATGACGTGTATCTCAGCCCCTCTTCAGAGACTCATAACTCTGGATGTGAGTATGTTCGTATGATCTCGAGATAAGATGGAATGGAAAGGGCGACTCTACAGATTCAGGAAGTGTTTGAACTGGATTTCTGTGCTGGATCTTCACAAATTATTCAAATTTTACACAAGACTGAGTTTGTGGACCCCAAAGGGTTAATTGTAAAGAATGAAGAGGGTTGGAAAATGGTGTAAAAGTGAATTATGATCATAAGTGGTCCTCAAACATAAGAAGGAAATGTCAGATATGAGCCCTTTAAATCGAATTAGCACTGAATGAGAAAGCATGAGTTATTTACCTGAGCGGTTTGACTGGTCAATCATGGGCTGGACTATTCTGCGTCTGGCGTTTATAAACCTGAGCAAACAACAGAGATAAAACTGATCAAAAACGAAAGCCTGAACTCAAACTGTTCACCATAACCACGTTTGTTCATCTTCCAATACAGAGACAAACATTCAATATTACATAAATCTCCATTACAGATAAACGAGTATTGATTGCGGTGCAGTAATGCATTGATCGGTATTGATTGGGTGAATGTGGATTGATGATCACTGTGAAGAAGCTCAGAGTGAGACAGTCAGTACTTACCAGTTGTTGACCTGGAGGATGGTGAGTCCTGTGTCTTGAGAGAGTTGTTTTTTCTGTTCTTCAGACGGGTACGGATGCTGGGATAGGACAAAAAAAAGTTTCAGAAAGAATAAACAGAGCTGCTACTGTTCAACTTCATCGGCTATTTTGTTTTAATGAATTGTTGCCGTGGCAGTAAAACTCTTTATTGAAAAAAAAAATCATTGAGCAAAATTGTATTGAGCTATAACTAAAATAAAAGATAAAATAATATGTAAATTAATCGACTAATTAATAGTCCTTAGCAGCATCCTAATGCTAAAGTTCTCATCTCTTTAAGAGCAGGAAATACAAGAGTGACAGACCAGTTCCCAAAGCAGCGTAATGTTATTTTTTAAACTTAAAGATAATCATCTATCATAATAATGAAGTCTTTATCCGCCACTGTATCTCCCACTGAGTGTGCATTTCAGTGTTATCACACCACATATCAACAATCTGATTGGTCGCCACTCAGCTCATCTGCATAAAGTTTGTCCAAAGGGGGGTTGTTGGGGGTGAGTAGGTCAGTCAGTGGTCCGATGTGTCAGTGAAATGTCTATATTGTCATGTTTCACCTCATTGTTGCGCTATATGACACATTCTGTTTGATGTAAATTAGGAAAACAATAAAAATAAAAAAAATCCTTCCCACATCCCTGAATGGGTAAGCAGTATTTCATTTGATAACAGTTATTAATTAGAGAATATACATTTTTTTTTATAAGTTTCGTTATGTTTTCTGTTAAATTTTCATATCTTATAATGACTAATTTTGCTGTGTCACACTCTTCCATTCTCTAAATAACTTGCATTTTTTACCCCCCCCCAGTATAGTTGGTGCCCAAACAGAGCATCATTAATCCTGTTTAACTGGATTTTTACTCATCCTGCTTTAGCGGAAAAACAGAATATCGTGAAATGTTTAGTGCATTGAGAAAATCGTGATATACATTTGGCATATCAACCTCCCCCTTAATGTTATGTGCAATTATTATTTTCTTAGTGTAAAAGGTTCCTGACCCTTTGGTTCTAGACACTGCAGTGCTGTGTGCGCAGCTCCTCTCCGTTCTTTATTTATAGCCGCTGTGCTGGAGCTCAATTCTGTGTGTAATTACAGCAGCTTCATTAGCGGCTAATTACCATATGCTCGTTACTGTACCGCGCCGGCACCTCTCATTTCAGCTCCGCTCAGCTCGGCGATGTTCCCCGCCAGCGAGTTCATAACATCCAGATTTCACACCTACTGACTCGAGACGGCTGATACACACTGTTTAAACTCTCTGACGTTCTACCTCGTCTCTGAACTTCACTCTGCATCTCCTCCTCGAGCTGCCTCACCCGACCCACACGGAAATATGATATAGATTATATATATGGATGAATATGTGACATACATCCCAACTTGTAAACATATATGTGTAGCAATAACATTATTCACATATGGATGACATATATTAGTCATATATACACCGATCAGGCATAACATTATGAACGCTGCTGTGTCTGATCCACTCGTACCAGCACAACACACACTAACACACCACCACCACGTCAGTGTTACTGCAGTGCTGAGAATGATCCACCACCCGAATAGTACCTGCTCTGTGAGGGTCCATGGGGGTCCTGACCACTGAAGAACAGGGTAAAAGGGGGCTAACAAAGTATGCAGAGAAACAGATGGACTATAGTCTGTAACTGTAGAACTACAAAGTGCACCTATATAGTAAGTGGAGCTGATAAAATGGACAATGAGTGTAGAAACAAGGAGGTGGTTAAAATGTTATGTCAGATCGGTGTATATAAGCTTTGTGTTATGTAAGGTTTTTGTGAAGGTTTTTTGTTTCTTTCATGTTTCCTAATGAAGTGAAAGTCAGTATAATAGCTACAAAACTAAACTCTAAAAACATGCACATTGTAAGCTGTGCAAAAAAATAAAATGTGAAATAAATGATAACATTGCTCCCTGACACATTTAAATAATTAAATTTGTTAAAAACAGACAGTAACAATTATAACTGTACTGTACTGGGATCGTTCCTCTATATAGCACACATACGTGTACGTATTCAACATATGTCCAATATTTGATACTCACATATACGTACATGGCATATATGCACATGTATTTTGAAATATATGCCTGACCTGTTATGATATGTAAACATATATGGCTACATGTCAGATTGCCAAATGGGAAAAAGTGATGACTTTGAAAGAATACATGTTCCACATGAATAAAACATAATTCTGTTTTTCAGTTTACTCACCTTCGGCTATAAGCGCGTCAATAAATCATATTTTATTGATGTGGACAGTGAAGCAGTTTTTCCAGTGTGCAATTCTCTCATTTGTCTTGCAACCATGACAAATACAGGGACCAAATTTTCTTTTTTCTTTTTTTTGGTTGTACAAAGCGTAACGGCAGTTTCAATAATTATAAATAAACCTGAACATTTTCATTGATTTTAATTTGATTTTTAGTAACATTTTTCGTGTGACCAAATTCTCACTTCTGCAAAATAAATCTGCAAATAATGTTTTTTTTTGTTGGACTAAGTATTTTAAAGTCACGTATTAAAACATAATTATTAAAATATAATGTATTAAAAAGAGTATTTTGCCATTTTGTCCCATTAGCGCAACACATTAAGAGCCAAAGAGGTTCTTCATTGTACCAGTACCACATTTCCTCTTCCTCAGAGTTTAAAGACTGTTTTTCTTACCGATAGATGCTGGAAGAGCCACGCTCTCATGATGTTGGTTGCCACTTTGGGGAAAATCCCTCTTTTCTTGTTGCTCCTTCTGTCTCGGTCCAACTCGTCCTCCTCTCCTGTGCTGGGAGACGCTACAGCTCCGTCCAGTCCGTCTCCTGTTATGAGAGTGATTAAATTTCCACATGAGTATAATACTGCAATTCAAATGATTTCTTTCAGGTTATTTACTTTTGGAAATAATCTAATAATAATATGATTTATTTCATTTATGGTGAAATGATGGACACATTCAAACCAGGTAAATGAAATGCACTTGTTTCCTGTCAGTTATGAAGCATAGAAATGCATTTGTATATGTGTGTGTATATATGCATATATATGTGTGTGTGTGTGCGTGTGTGTGTATGTATGTTTGTATGTGTGTGTGTGTGAGCGTGTGTGTGTGTGTGTGTGGGTGTGTGTGTGTGTGTATGTATGTTTGTATGTGTGTGTGTGTGTGTGTGCGTGTGTGTGTGTGTGTGTGTGCGTACCGGCGTCGCTGCAGGTCTCTGCGCTGTGCGTGGTGAGTCCACAGGAAGCACTGGGGGTGCCTGAGGGGGTAGACACACAGTCATCTGTGTCTCGCAACCAAGACTGATTCTAGATCAGGAGAGAGAGACAGTCAGTGGGACAGTGAGACGGCGCCTTTTCTGCCTGCGGAACCTAAAAGGTGGAACAACTGTCCACTGCTCCGATAACCTCCGACCTCACGAACTGATTTCATTCAGTTCGATTATACAGAAAATAAAAATAATAAACCCAGAAAATAAAACCCAGCCTTTCCTGGAGTTTTACAGCGACCGAAAATATGAGCCCACTGATTGATTATTATCATGATAGATTATAATCAGCTATCATTCAAAAATGGATGCCTGTGTATCTACAAATTGGCAGGAGTCCAGGACTCCACTCTTTTAAAGCCCTATATATATATATATATATTTATATGTGTATGTTGTGTGTGTATGTGTGTGTGTGTGTGTGTGTGTGTGTGTGTGTGTTTATGCATTTTTTACAATTATTTTCCTTCTTTACTTGCACTTTTTACATTCTGTGTTTGCCTTAGGAACTATCTCATGTTTGTATCACTGTTATCTTTATTATTATTACTATTATTATTATTGTTATTATTATTATTAACAATTACAGCCAAATATATACATAGGTACTCCTATTGTGACTCTGACTCACACAGCACTGCAGACTGTAACTCACCTGTTCGGACAGGCTGGTGCAGGAACCGGTGAAGTCCTCCATGTCGGATTTGGAGCTACCGTCTCGCTCCTCCAGCACCAGGTCAGTGGGCATCTTGCCCTTAAGACAGGTGATGTAGCGATGACAGAAGTTGTCACACAGATCGTGAACCTACAGCAGCAGAACAGAGAACAGCAGAGGAACATTCACTCACAGAGACCCACAAACACAATATAAACAGAAATAACAATAAAACGTCACTAACTGATAGTAAACTGAGAGCATTACTACAATATTATACTGTAGAGTAGAATGTGTGAGTCATACCTTTTCTAACTCCAGCAGGTGAAAGCGTAACACCTGGATGGCCTGGATCATCTGAGGAGGAACATACAGCACTGTTTATAACAGCATCTCTTTTTCTGGGAAACTGATCACGACTGGATGAGATGTGAGTATACATTTGTATATATTATATACTTGTATATCTTTGCACATTTTCAGAACAACAAAACTTTTGAATATGTAAAGAGAGCAGAAAAAAACTGACAAAATAGTCTCAACTTTGTAAAAACCTCATAAAAAAGCTAAAAGATTTTGTTTATTTTTTGGTTCTTAGGATTATGATTAGGTTGCTTTTGGGACAAAACCTCATATCCCTATTTTAGTTTTTTGTTTTTTGACATAATTTAAAAATGGCAGTTGCTCTTTATGATGTGTCAAAATTTTCATGATGAACAGACAAACAGAAAGGATCCAAAATTACTTGGAAACAATTTTCCACCTTTCACTTCCATTAAAAGTTAAGAATGTTTTTCCTGGTCTATACATATATATATGGAACATACCTCTATATATTGCTATTACATATAAATGCTTGCATCTTACCAGATTGTCCAGTTCTGGATTTGATGAAAAGATGGGTTTCTCTGAACGGATCTGAAAGCACAAGCAAACATATACATGTTATTACATATATTGCAGTGACCCATTACTGGCTGGTGTTGGCTCCAAGAGCCCGCACGGCCACGCGTGGGGGGTCATGGTTGGCACACACCCTCCTAAAAAGGGCCTTTAATGTTGTTTAAATGTCTTTGTTTGTTAGTGTAAAGATGTGTTTGTATGTTATTTGTGGTTTACTGTATCTCGGGCTGGGGGGTTACTGTGTGGGTGTTTTGTGTTGGGGGTTGGTCACCGTGAGGCTGGTGGGACCTCCCCCCTTGAATCTTTATGTGTTTTCCTGCTCTGGTGTTTAATAAAGAGCACTTCTCATGGTGAAATCAGGGCCTCCTCTGTGTTTTACTCTACACTGATGCCACAATATATCATTAAACATATCATCTCTGCTACTTGGACACATGATGAACCCACTCTGTTACAGCTCTCACTCACCTGTTTGGCGAAGGCTGCGATGTCCTCGTTGAATGAGTCGGAGGAGCAAACATCGCTGTGACTGGACAGGCCGGGAAGGTGGGCGGGGTTCGACAGGGAGGTGGAGTCACGCGGTGAGCAGGTGGCCAATTCACACTTCTCAAACACCAGAGCCAGGAGGGGGAACAGCGGATGGCTGTTCACACATAGATATGAGGAGTTAGGAGTGGAAACGCAAACACATCCCGAGCATCATCCCTAAGAATTCAACAGGCTGTTTTTGTTACTGTGATATATGTAAATGAGCTCTGTTCTGATTGGCTGCCTCATCCAAAATGATGAAGTCATAAGGAGTGTTTCAGCCCAGGCTGGGTTTTGAATGAAACACAATACATGACAAAATATCTGTCCAAACCTGACCAGATCGCACAGCGCGGGAACAGCTCAGTATGGAAAATTTATCCACACTTGATGATTTAACCTTAATTTTGGCTGATTATTTTATCATTATTTTATTTTTTTTTCCATAATGATTTTCCTGTGATAATAATAATTTATCTGTGATAATTATGCCTGGTATTGTTACTACACAGTAGTCTAACCAGTACTATCAATAACAACATTAGGCTTTATTTGGCACCAGTTCAGGTCAGTTTTAGACTCGGAAAATTTACTACCAGCGCTACATTCAGTTAGCCTTCTCACTGAGGTTGCCAAGCTTGCTGAGCTGGAGCATATTTTTGGAGCTAAAAATGGTGCAGAGCACTGATTGGTCAAATTAAATCATCACATAATTAGTCGTGTGGCAGAAAACCTCAGTTTCTAAAACTGCACTCTTAAAAAAGATTTCTTTAGTAAAGACAATGGTTTTATATAGCAACATAAACATTCAGAGAACCTTTTGGATGCTTAAATGTTTTTTTTGCATGGTTCTTAAGATTAAAGGAGAATGTGTTGTATATGGTTCTATAAAGCACCTTTTTGGAAAGGGTTCTATATAGCACCAAAAAGGGTTCTGCTGCTGTCACATTGTAACCCTTTTTGGTGCTACACAGAACCAAATAAAGCACATTCTCCAATCCGTTTAAGGAAGCAAATGGTTCTTTGAGTGATCATGGTTTTAGAACCATTGTCTTTAATAAAGAACCATCTTTTTTAAGAATATATCCTGAATCTCTTCTCAGAAAAGCAAACGCAGTAAAAGGAAACTCCTGAAGCTGCTGCTGTTTGAGTTTACTGTTACAGAGATCCCGCCTACTTTATTGGTTCTGCTGTGCGCTAGGAAACGGACACAGGCACTCCAGCAGGGTACGGATGGTTCTGGGTTCAGATTAGTGACCGCGCCGGACCAAACCACACTGTCCGGCAGAAAACACCCCAAAGCTGTAAGTTGTGTCTCACCCGTAGATCTGATCGCGGTGGTGTTTGAGTGAGTCAGGTACGGTGTGCTCATAGTGGGGGGGGGGCAGTGACCTCATCGCTTCGCCGTACCCCCCCACAGGCATAATGTCAGACCCTGGGTACTGCACCAGCTCTTCATACTGAGAGAGAGACACAGAGAGAGAGAGAGAGAGAGTATTGAGTTAGTGAATGTAGACACAACAGAATCAGACATGTAAAGCGAAATAGTGAATGCGTGGGACAAGCGAGAGAGAGAGAGAGAGAGAGAGAGAGGGGAAGGCCGTTTGAAGTTGCTGCTAATTTTCGCTCCTCCTTCATAAACACCAAGAACAGACAGCGTTTGATCTGTGCGCCGAGCGACATTCACCGTGGGACACGTACGAAAAAACAAAACAAAAACAATAACAACAACAGCAATGAAGACAAAAGAAGGTTCCTCATCTTTTAAGCTCGAACCCTAATTCTCACGCATTCCTTCATGTCTTTTTAAGCCCACTCACCGTCACAACCGCTCAGTCAAATGAGCAGTATGTAAATGAGCAGCATGTAAATGAGCAGTGTTTAAATGCTGAGCACTCGGCAACTTTTTCAGGGAAGAAAAAAAATTCTGCTTCTTTTTTAACCAAGTTTGCTTCAATTTCACTCGCTCATTTTTCATTTTTGAGAAATAAATATTAAATTCTAGCAGTTATTGAATATTCACTCAGTAACATTCCAGGACTAAATTTAGCACAATCAGGAAAAATGCCACAGGACTTTCCCTGAATTTTGTTTTAGTATTACATGTAATTTTCACACTTTTATTCACATTCAAATGTGGATTTTCTATTGTTTTGTTAAAAAATAGTACAGTACACTTGATTTAATATAATAAATGATACAAACTCTATTTGAGAGCAACAGGAATTTAAACAATCATATTAATGAGTAAACAACCGAACAATGTGCCTTCAGTGTAAGGGGAAAAATAAAATACAAAAAAATAGCATGACTGATCAAAGGGCTTTTGAAATCATCAAATTTCATCAAAAATCATCATTTTTGCACAATATAACATGATTCTGCATCTAAACCATCATTTATTGCGCATATTTTTGAAGAGTCTAGCACAAGTTAGCCCATAAACACCAGTTGCTGTCACTTTCCACTACCCTTTTCTTGTTAGGTGCAAAGCATCATGGGAATTGTAGTTTTTTCTCAAGATAATTGCATTGAAATATCTCAAGTGAAACTACAAATTACGAAAAGAACTCAGGAAAAAATTATTATTAAACGGATCAAACTCAATCTGAATCATGTTTAAACACAATGAGAGGACAGTAGGGCAAATTGCTAAGCAAAAGGAGTCGTTTAGAAAGCTAGTTTTTGAAGTAAACAACAAACAACACTGAATAAAATCATAAAATGTTTGTGTGCAATCAGAGCCACAGCGGATGATTGTATAATACATAAATATACTTGCTTAATTTCTAAATTCCCCCACATAAATAAGAGTGTTAACAAAAAACACTGCACACAGAGCTACAAACCTCATAAAAATTTAGGTTCTTCAAGGGTTCTTTAGCAAAGGGAATGGTTCTATATAGAACCCTGCACACTCAAAGAACCCTTCGCATGGTGAAATGCTTCTTCAGATTGATGGAGAATGTCTGTTTTTTTATATATTGCACCAAAAAGGGGTCTTTCCGTTGATAGAAGCTTGACATTATAACAACAGCAGAGCACTTTTTGGTCCTACATAGAACCATACACAGCATATTTTCCATCAATCTGTAGAACCGTTTTACCATGGAAAGGGTTCTTTGAGTGTTCATGGTTCTATATACTTTCCTAAAGAACGCTGAACCCTATTTTTAAGTGTGTACTTATTCTAATTGACAGGTTGCCATATTAAGGCTTCAGCACTGCCACAGTGGAGAAAAATTACAGTAATGAGGCTTCAGAAAATCACATTAATAAACCAGCACCGACATCACGCACAACAGTATCACCAGCGTTAAACCCACAACCGAACAGCCATCAACAGCCAAAACACGAAACACAACAAAACACAACAAAACGAGGCTCTAATCTTTTTATTATAGACAGTAAAATTATGCCTTAACTTTTTTACTGAGCATCTTCAGGTGCAACATTTATAAGATGCATTACTTACTTTCACAAAGCTACAGCTCTAACTACACTCTTAAAAAGATGGTTCTTCTTTAGCAAAGGGAATGGTTATATTTAGAACCATGCTTACATGGTTCTTTGCATGGTGAAACAGCTCTTCAGATCGATGGAGAATGTGCTGTATAGGGTTCCTTACAGCACCAAACAGCTTTCTTCTATTGTTATGATGTCAAGTTTGTATACAATAGAAAAAACAATTTTTGGTGCTACATAGAACCATTTTCAAAAAGGTTCTACACAGAACAATGTACAAGACATTCTGAAGAACCATTTCACCATGCAGAGAACCATTTAAGCATGTAAATGGCTCTATATGGAATAGAACTATTGCATTTACTAAGGAACCCTTGAAGAGCCTTCTTTTTATCATCAACATTTATAACCTTTATAATGCATAAAGAAAAATTAAAAAGTTATTAAAAGTTATTAAAGCTGCATTTTGTAGAATTGATTGGGTCAGAATTTCTGTAAAATGTTACAGAAAAACAGCAGCATTAAAAATAATAAAAATCTAGCAGAATTGTTCTAACAGAAGAAATACATTTTTTACTGCTTATATTGCTCACATATTGGGCTACATTATGCAATGTCGCTTGTTTGCTTTAGCCATTCAAAATTTTTGCAAAACTTTCAGTAAACGTTGAAGAAAATGAGTCAAATAAGCAGAAATCAGGACTGAATCCAAGGTGTTCATCATTTCCACGTGAATAAAATCACATCAACACAATCACGCCTTTCTGTTTACTCAGCAACAATAAACTACAACAGAGCTGATGTGTTTGAATCGTGTGGAAATGATGCATATTTTCAGTGCAGCACTACAAAAGCTGGAAACATTCATTCAATTAAGTTTTTATCGAAAACCACAAGCCTACCAGGCTAATTTACAGAGCAAGAGCAACTGCTTAAAAAAGATGATTCTTCAGAGGTTTTAGTAAAGGCAATGGTTCTACATAGAACCATAAGCTGCAACAGAACCATTTGCATGCTTACATGGTTCTCTGCATGGTGAAATCGTTCTTTGGATTGATGGAGAATGTGTGTGGTTCTGTATAGCACCAAAAAGAGTTCTTTCTATTGATACAAGCTTGACATCGCAACAATAGTAGAACGCTTTTTGGTGCTATACAGAACCATATACGACACATTCTCCATCAATCTGAAGAACAATTTCACCATGCAAAGAAGCATTTAAGCATGCAAATGGTTCTTCGAGAGTTCACGGTTCTATATAGAACCACTGAAACATTTTTTTTGAAAGTGTGCCAAATGATCTGTATGGTGATTTGTTGATCTAGCTACAAAAACCGTTCTGCTATTGTACTGATGTCAAGCTTGTAGCACTAGAAGAACCCCTTTTGGTGCTACAAAGAACCATTTTCAAAAAGGTTCCATATGGAACTGTATGCAATACACAAAGAGCCGTTTAAACATGCAGATGGTTCTATGTAGAACTAAACAGAACCGCTGCCATGTTAGGAGTGTATAGCACATCCTAAACAAAATGAGGGCCTCACAGCGCAGAGAGGGAAGATAAGGGCGATAATGAGGTGATGTATTAGTGTTATTGTCTCTGTTTAGACCTCCATTCGGAGCCAGTGGGCCACAGGGAGCAGTTAGAGCAGTTAGAGCTGTTAGAGCTGTTAGAGCTCCTCTCCAGCCCGAGCTGTGACCTACTTTAGCGCGCTAGCCTGCTCTGCTCCCGCCTGCTCCTCCACATGCCCGCTCACATGATTCCTCCCGCTTAGACGGCAAGAAATGCATCGTTCAGAGAGACAGAGAGACATTTCTGACTCCTCCTGGGAAGAAAGTGAGAACTGCTTTCACTCAGTCGCTGTTTAGCTTTGTTTTTTTGCTTTAAAGGGGCTAAAAAGGCAGCAAAGGGGGCAACAGGGCGGATGGCGGCCGCCTTTTAGCTACTGCGCTGGGTTAGGAAGCATAAATTAAAGCAGAGAAAGACATAATTAATGATTTTGATATGTCGAACAGACGCAGAGGAACAACATGTCTTGTATTCACGACTGAAACTGAGACACTCGAATCAAAGCTGAGTAATCACTATTCAGATGACTCACATTCGGACACAGTTGCGTCCAGCTGCACTGATAATTTTTAAGTTTTTAACAGATATCATGATTGAAGGTGGGCGATACGGCACAAATATGATATTTTGATGCTTCAAGAAACGTCACAGTATTTATTTCTTTCAGACGTCTGATCAGAGAAAAAAGAAGCAGTAGTGCTAGATTTTATGATACGATCAAAAACTGTGAATATAATTTTATTCAACATTTGACACACTGTGTTGTAGTTAATTGGGACTAATTATATTCAGAAAAGCATTTTGTATTGTGACATAATTTACTGCGATAACGAGATACGTTGTCATATTGCCCAGTTCTAATCATGATGTACCTTACATTCTCCTCTAATGCAGAATAAACATAAATAAGCACAGCCAGTAAAAGCACAGATACAGTCAGTGTCACACCAACTGAGAAGAACAAGTGAGTTTTAAGGGAATTCACATAATTAGCTAATATTAAATCCTTTAGAGTTGATGCAATCGCATCCCACCCCAACACTGTAGCTGCTTTATCACTGCAGTGGTCCACTCAAGGAAACAGAGTAACAGCCACTGTTGCAATAGTCAGATATTTGGAGTGAAACAATTATGTATGATAGTCTTTTTGGCAGCTATTAGACAAAGATTAACTCCCTAAATGTCCAGGGCCCAAAGTTTAATTATACACTCCTATAACATTAGAACAGCTCAGCCAGTTTGCACTGAAGTCCCTCTAGTTACTGAATAATAAGCAGTAGTATGTAATAAGCCTGGGATTTTAAGGGGTTAATAGTTTTTGAGCTAATGTGAAGGTGAGAGATCTATCATCACTTAGTAAACAAAGACAAGAAGCTCTGTTCGTAGGAATCACAAGCACATCAGACACAATGTATTCACCCCAAATTCGCTAATCTCACTGCAGTCGCAAAAGATGTGCAGAAACGACTGAATCGCACTGATATAAAACACAGAGGAGAGATTATTCAACTCTGCTTTGGTGAAATAACTAAAAATTAATAACAAATAAAAAATGGAATAAAAAAAATGAAAAATAGAATATTTACATTAAACTAGAACATTGTTTTAAAGCATCGATGGTCATAGGTTGTTTAGAAGTGGTTAGGAAGTATTAATTTTTGTTGTTTTATGACAGTAATTAATCCCGAATCCCCTCATATAGTGACCACACACAGCTGGACGAGGCATTAACACCGTCCATTCAGCTCTGGAGGTTTCGCAAAGTAATGCAGCTCCTCTAAATGCACTTAAATCGTAAGGCTTTTTTTAATTATTCCATGCCAGTAGTTGTTAAAGGGGAACTCCACCAATTTTTCAAAGTTTACAAATGTAATTAGCCTAGTGTAAGGTAAATAAAGTTCAGAGTGCTTTGGTGTGAAAGGCTCAGAATTGTTCACAGTGGAGGTGACAGGAACCAGACGTCCACCTCTAAAAGCTCCCTCACAGAAAGTTATTACATGAAATAGTTATGTATTCACTGCCTGACGTCTGAGACACTGTTTTACGATAGTTTTGAGACGATTTTTGCCCTAAAATCCATTTATGGTGGAGAGATACGTAATATGCAGGGTGTTATGAGGCAAAATAGTCCCCAGAGAAAACTTATCTAATTCAGATTTTCCACTATTTCCCATCATCAACATTGCATACATTCAACATAGGATCACTGGTGGTTTTGGATAATAAATAAAATGTCTATATTTGTGTTGTAGTCATGGCGATCCCTGGTTCCTATCACCACCACTGTAAAGACATCTGGACCTTTTCACACCAAACCACTCTGAATCACTCTGTTTACACCTCACACACTCAATATGGGGGAATTTTGAAAAAATTGGTGGAGTTCCCCTTTAACGTGGGCTTTATGTAGAATTAATTTGCTTTTGTTTTTTCCAGATTACTCAGCCCATTTCAGTGTTCATGAACTCCAGCTGGACACAGCAATGGTCAGTTCCAGCACTGGAGGGTCAGTTAGCCAGCTCTCCATCTTTCAGTACAGCGCAGGTGGGCAGCTATGGGCGCGCGATGACCCACTGATTGCATCTCCGCAACCAAAGCTGCAGAAAAACAGCAGAAAGAAAGAAAAAACACAGCACTTTACCCTTTTCTCCATGCGCCACAGGGGGAGGAGGACACACAACGGGGCAGTCCGGGGCAGCCGAGCAGTGTCCGCGGTCACTATCAGCACATAAAAACAACAACATTCAGAAGAGGTGCCTTAATTGGCCTGTGTGGCGCGCGAGTGCATACGGGCACCATTAACATCGCGACATAACATCCACTGCCTATCATCGGGATACGAGGCTGGAGCAGCTTCTTATTTGGAATTATCCGTTCCACCTTAAATGGCGCAGCAGTTACAATCTGGCCCAAGGCGCTATAATGTAACGGCTGCGCTATTTAAGGTGGAACGGATCATTCCCAATAAGATGCTGGCGAATAACCAACTGAAACTCTACCATCAGAGTACATGCAGCGATGCACGTGAACAGCTATTATCGATCTGATCTGATCTGATCCTGATTCTGCTCGTGAGCTCGTACCGATCTCTCAGGCCGACGATGCGATGCTCCGGTACGCGCGTGCTGCTGCTGCTGTTGCTGCTGGCCTGGCTGCTGCTCTCGCGATGTCCATGGACCGAATGTGGGGGCCCTGCGAGACGATAGGTGGGCCTTTAAAGCGCGAGCGAGCGAAAGAGGGGAGGGGGAGGAGAGAGAGAGAGAGAGAGAAAGGGAGAGAGAGAGAGAGAGAGAGAGAGAGAGAGAGAGAGAGAGAGAGAGAGAGAGAGAGAGAGAGAGAGTTGTTTTCGGGGGTCAAAACGCGACGGGGTCTCCTAACCCCCCCGCATCCCCCAACCTCCCTTTCCCCCCCCACCCTTATCGCACGCGCTCGTGCATTACAAACGCAGAGGGCCCGCCTCGCGCGAGCCTAGTGATATACAACCACACATAGGCTGCACACAGGGGCGGAGTTAGTGATTCTAGGGCTCTAGGCAAAAGACAGGAATCCCCCCCCCACCCCTAGACGAACATTTACGAACTAGTTGAGGTGCTCTGTGCTCCCACTACACTGCAGAAGTCATGCAAGAGAAATCATCTTAAATCTAGTCGATATGTCTAATGTTTCTCATTATAAGGGGATTATTAGATTATCTAACTGTACTGGCAGATAATTATGCTGTTTTTTAAGAAATAAACCTTAAAACATGCAAAAATGCCAGCACAGTGAGATAATATGGTAAAAAAGATGGTTCTTTGGAAAAAGACAATGGTTGCATATAGAACCATGAACACTCAGAGAGCCATTTGCAGGCTTAAAATGGTTCTTGACGTGGTAAAATGGTTCTTCAGATTAATAGAGAATTTCTCTATAGCACCAGAAAGGGTTCTGCTATTGTTATGATGTCAAGCACAATAGAAGAACCTTTTTGGTGCTATTTAGAACCAATTTCATGTAGAACAATATACAAACATAAATGTGGAGAACCGTTTCACCATGTAAAGAACAATTTAAGCATGTAAATGGTTCCTTGAGTTTGCATGGTTCTTTATAGAATAGGGATATATATATATATATATATCGCTGTTGTCGGAAGAAAACCTCATATCTCCAAAATGATAACTTGATAACTTTACAGGAGAAGGAAAAACGCTACTTCACTTTTAATGTAAGTCAATGCAACCAGACTTTTTTTCATGACATTTTGCATCGTTTCTTTTGGTCCATTCATCATGAAATTTACACACAATGTAAAGGGCAACAGGCATTTTCAAATTATGTCAAAAACTGAAAAACGACAAAAATGGAGATACAAGGTTTTCTTCCGACAGCAGCGATATATGTGTGTGTGTGTGTGTGTGTGTGTGTGTGTGTGTGTGTGTATAGATAGATAGATAGATAGATAGATAGATAGACAGATCTATTGGAGCAGGAAATAAATAAAAACCCAGAGTGCAGCTGGAGCGAGTGATTACAGAAACACTATGAACGAGGAGCGTAAGTGTCCACTCCACTCACAAACTCTGATCTTTACACAGTTGTGTCATCATAACAACGTGGAACAGTCCATTATAACCATGATCAGGACACAAAGCTGCACTGAAATTACTGAAATAATCACTACAGTCGCAAACAACAAATTTGACAACATACATTTTTAAATTCATACATAGTCCGGAATAAGTTATTTAACTTTAACATGTACAGTGTATCTAATCTGCATGTTCATGGGGTCCTTGGCTCACAGTTGCCCTAGGCAGCCACCTACCTTTACCTACTGCAAAGGCTACACACTGGCTACACACTCTGCTGCGTACACACATGTACAGGTTTGTATCGCTGCCTTATTCATTATCCTGTGGTCTCTGCATTGACTCCTGCTCCTTTACTTTCTCAAATAAACATTAATTTGTTTAAAAAAACAAACAAAAACAAAGTAAAGGGATGCCAGATGTCATCCAAGCTTCAAAATGCTGTTGTTTTCTTTCATCCTGGGGACTTTTGGTCCCCACAAACACAGAGCTAGGGGCCAGGGGTCTCCGGAGGGCCTCAGATGTAAACATTAGATGCACTGAATGTGCACAAAAGTATAAATAAATGAAATTTTTATATCATTATCGATTTGTACAAACTTAAAAAAGATGATTCTTTAAGGGTTTTTTAATAAAGGCCATGATCCTATTTAAAACCATGAGTTCTATATGGAACCATTTCCTGCTTAAATGGTTCTTTGCATGGTGAAATGGATGGAGAATGTGTTGTATATGGTTCTATATAGCACCAATCAGTGTTCTGCTCTTGTGACAACATCAAGCTTGTATACAATAGAAGAACCCTTTTTGGTGCTGCACAGAACCATTTTCGAAAAGAGGTTCTATATAGAACCATATACAATACATTCTCCATCACTCTGAACCCTTCAAGGACCATATTTTGTAAGGGTGTAGGATGTTATTGCTATCTGAATAGGATGTTCTAGACAGTGTTTGCATTTACCTTTGAATATGTTCTGTTTGTGCATTACGACTTGGTTTGGCTTCAAATAAGAAGAGAAGAAATCATAAATTTCACCTTTAAATGTGCAAATGACTTCTGAACTGACTAATTTTGTTCATTTTCAAACATTGGCATTGCTCAAATTGCACATAAACATGGTTGTTTACTTATTTAGTCATCTTATTAGTTATTATGTGTTATTATTAGAGTTTGAGGGGCCTCCAGAGTTGCTTGTGCCAACTTTCCATTGATGAACCAAAGCCAGCGTCTCATCAAAGCCCTTCACTGCTGTGCTGCATTTATTTCAGTCAGCATATTCCAAAAGGCCTGCACAGTTAATGCGCTGAGGTGCACATCTAGGACGAGGCCTGTTCACCACAACTACCAACATTCAGCTGTTCAGCTCTATTCCCCAAATTCACACCAGTGGGGTTTCACCCACATTCAATTTCTGGGCCCATAATAAACACCTTATTGTGGCTGATCAATAATCGATTATTTAAGTGGCTGCAAATATGATTCTAAATTTTTGGTTGTACCTGATGTCAGTAATCTGATAATCAGGGCTGTTTCTGAGGACTCAGGGGCTACAAGCAACATCCTACATCCTTAAAAAAAGGAGTCCTTTAGTAAAGGCAATGAATATACAGTGGTATGGAAAAGTCTGTGCACCTATGGTCAAATTGAATGTCTTGGGAAAATACAGAGAACACTGTTTTGCGCATTTTAATGCATAATCACTGTTTATTTGCAGAATTTAGCACAGTGATGGGAAAAAAAACTGAATTTAAAATGTAGCTAATGCAAAATTAATTGCACATTTCATATTTTATGTTTTACTTTTTTTCCAATATGTTAAAGTCAGTAAATAAACATGTGCAGAGAAATGTTATATTTGAGTCTGTGAGGATGTTATTTTTACTTACAAAATCAACAAAACATGGATTTTTGTCAAACTTTTGCATGTAGAACCATTTGAATGGGACCATTTGAATGGTTCTTTGCATAATAATTGCAAATATGGTTCTATACATAGCACCAAAAGAGTTTAGCAATGGTCTTAGAACCTTTTTGTCTTGGTACCATATAGAAGCATTTTTGATAAGAATATATAACACATTATATTGAATAATAAAGAAAGGAATTAAAATTTTTGAAATTTTCCCTCATTTATCAGTGAATAATATATATTTGCCACTGATATATTGCAATATCGTGCACCCCTGCATTGCACCTAGTCCAGTTATCCCCAAAACTTTCCCTGGTTTTTTAAACAGGCTGCTCCATTTGTCATAATTTGAGGTCATTACAGACATGTGGAGTCGCTGACAGCAACATATGGCCACCCATCCACTTCCACATTTGCAGTATAAACTCCTCCGTCCCCTCCCCTCATTCACCACTCACCATAAATAACCGTAAATGACAATTCAGCATTGTGGCTGTATTGTGTGAGCTTGCTTACACTAACTCAGCCTGTGAACTTTTCCATTTCAGACCCCGCTCACATTCGGGTTGCTGTAACTTAACGTTTCTATGTGAATTACAAAAAAATGGGAACTCCGTGGCAAAAGGGGAGCTCGTCTTGTGTTGTAAATTACCTTTAAGGAGCACAATGGCGGTCGAGAAGGTTTCTTTTGCTGGCCACCTGCTGGGAGGCGCCAGGGGGCTCCAGCACTTCAGGATCAAGCAAAGCGCGGCCTTTCAACACCACGGGAGGCTCCTTCCCCACCTACACGATCATAGGCGCAAAGGCCTGAACAACAGTGGCTCAAAGGGACTGCCAATGGAGCAAGGCCCTTTGAATGTTCGCCTTAATGGACTGTTTCCAGGTGTAATAGGTCAAAAACCTTGCAAGAACACGGTCGGAGAAGCATCTACAGGCTGCAGAGCCCTTCAGATAACCTCACTGCCAGTTCAAAACACTGTTTTATGGTTTTGTTTCCTTTTTACACCTTTTAAAAACTTTGTGTGAACATTTTACGATGAATAAATCAATAGAAATTGTCTAAATTTAATTTATACAATAACACATCAAAAGTTGGGTTTTTTTATTTTACTAGAGCTGAAGTTTTGGGGATACAAGGTTTTTCTCACTACAGCAATGATACGTTAAACAAGAGCTAACACTGTTTACACT